GCCTGGTGAGGATAAGGCTTAATTATCTCAGCTATATCAATAACACCTCAAGCTAAAAGTCTAGATTAAAAAATTATCTCTAACAAAAAAGGTTGTTTTTTTTTCTAGCTAGTTCTTTCATGGGGTTTTTTTGTTGTTGTTTTTTTTTTTTTTTTAAATGACATTGACAGCTGTGGATACATGTCTCAGAAAGAAGATGCTTTCTTTTTGCAAAAGCTAATATTTGACTGTAGAAAGTTGTAATCATTTAAAAGAGAAAGCTTATCAAGTGTACCTAAGAGCTATTAGCCTTCAAACCTATAATCAGTCCAAAGTAGGAAGAGCCTCTTGATGTCAAGAAACAGCTTGTTTACAGAAGGCTTTTGGCAAAATTAGAGTGTAGTCCAACACTTGGCTTCAGAGCAAACAATCCCATAATGCAGCTAATCAACGGCACCTAACAATAACTCTCTCTGTGGTGACTGCCAATTTATTTTCTCAAAACATTTTGCAAATAATTAATCAATGGTCTCTCTTGGTGTTAAATAAGGGAACGCCACTTATTTCAGGGAGCGAACGGGGTAACAATGTGCTGCTCAGGACAGGATGTAATGCACCGACTCTGACTGCGCACGGAGAGATTTGGTGGAAGAAGGGTGTAATTCGCAATGGCTGCACCAGCAAAAAGGAAACCTTCCTGCCTGGCACCTGCAGAAGATCATCTTACACTCTGAATCATGAGAGTGTATTATTGCTGCAGAATATTTTAATGGTCAGAAAATAATCCAACCACATGATTTGATTCGACTGCTTGCATTAGTGAGTTCCCAATACCCAGCTGGTCGAGAATAGCGTCTGTATATTTTGCTAATGTTTTTCCCCTTTGCTTTCAATGTGCTGGGACAGGATAAAAGGAAAAATATTCCCTTTTCATTAAACCTTTCATAATTTGGAGGTTGGTCAAGCACCTGGCAATTATTTTCTCATTGAAGATAATCAGTCTTAGATTTTAGACTCATGCCTGGAATCATCATTGTTTTTCTTGTCATGCCTTTTTGGCCATGCTGTACCAAAGCCGTGTCTTTAACAAACCCAACACTCCCAGGCAACTGGTCCTTAGACTGAGAGGATCTCTGTTCATATTGTTAAGAACCATGAAGCTGGTTATTGAAAATACTTGGAAATTTGCTGCCTTACTTTTGAGACATTCTCTGTAACACCCACGTAACAAAACCTCAGAGTTAGACATCCATGTTTGCATTTCAAGGATGTCATGCTGGAAGCTATCAGGTGCTATTGTAGTGACTCAAGGAGTAATCTGATGCAGTGTGACTTTAAAAAAAAAATTCAGGATGATTCAGAACATTTAAATGGTGATTTGCAGGGTAAGAAATGTATCGACCACTTGGTATTCTCATCATGTCAAAGACACCTAGGCGTTCAGACCTCTCTGATAATTTACCACAGCCAGACTGAGCCAAGTACTCATTTCACAGACTGCAGAAGAGTTGCTCCCGGTCTAAACCAAGTGTGAATAAGGGGAAAATGAGGCCTTTTACTCCAGTGGCATAATGCAGTCACTGAATCCACATAGCCCCTCTCTTAATCATTGTTTTAACGATTCTAGTACTCAGTCCTCTACTGCTTTCCCTGAGTGCTAACGAGTGACTTGCCCCCTCCAGAGTCTTTCACTTCAAATTGTCTCACATTTTTACCAGCTCTGACAGCTCAGGATAGAAATGTCCACCCTGAACAAGACGGGAAACAGTGGAAAAATCAAACCCTTAACTTTCACATACCAAAACAAGGAAAGCTGAACTTTAATCTGGATCTTCAGCAGACAATATAATCATCTTTGGGAAAATAATTCTAATTTATCAGTTTCACTCATAGAAATGCTGTCCATAACGTCATTAACAGGGCAGACATCCTTCTGTCTTCTAGGGAAACAATGGCCTTTCTATCTAACAGGTTTGTTGCTATGCCCCATAGTATAAAACTGAGCCCTTAATCTGCGAAAGGTGTGCTTCCTGAAGGTGGGGAGTTCCTTCAACTCCAGCCAAATTATTTTGTGGTCATGCCCTTAAACAAGTGAAAACAAACAAACAAAAACCTCCACCCCACCCCACCCCCCCCAAAAAAAAAACCCAACAAAACCCAACCAAACAAAAAAAAAAAAAACAAAACCCCAGCCATCCCCCCAACTATCCATGGCTGCTTGTTGTGTAAAACTGCAGAGAAATTGTCAAAGAACGGTTAGCTTCATAGAAAAATATGAGTACTTTAATCACAGGCAGGGTCACTGTGACATCACAGGGCCACTGAATCACCAGTGGCATCATTGAAAACCAGCCTAGGGGCAGCTTTGGCTTACACAACCTTGATCACCTCTCCCTCTTGCTTACGTCTGTCACCTGCGACCTCCAATGGTAGCTATTCATCCGTATGACAGGGCAGAACGCCACATCGCTCTTCTCAGTCCCATAGTTCTTCTAAATAACTGGAGTAAAAAAGACTATCCATCCATGCTGATCCCTTGCTTCTCCTCCTACACCTGATGAGTGTCATCACCCCTTCCTTCGTCACACCAGATGACGGGGAAACTGGCAGCAGGCATCTGAAAAAAGGAGCAAAGCTCAAGAGCTTGGTACTCCATAAATGTAAAAAGGGCCCTCCAGAGAAGAGGAGGTATCCCCTTCCTTCTAAAAAAAGCTCCAAGAGAAGGAGAGGCAACTCCTATTGCCCATCACATGGGTTGGGGTCTGTCTTGAAGGCTGTCAGCATCTTCCAGAGTCACTCATAACTGAGGACTGCCAATTCCTCACCGAGTTTTCAACATCTGTAAGGACTGAGTCCTCAATTTCTCAGCATCTCACACAGTACATGAAGGTCACATTGCAGTGTGACACAGACCCAATGACACAAAATGTCTAGACTAAGGAAAATTGACAACCTCCTCCATTTTAAATTTATACCAGATGAAGTGAAACATCAAAGGAGCTCCTTTTAATGGGCTTTTTGGCATGTGGTCCTTTGTTCTTAACAAGTCAGCACCAGCTGCTATGTCCATAATGCCAAGTCAGTAACGTCCCTGGCCAGATTCTTGCCTGATGTAAATCAGTGTCGCTCCTCTGAAGGCAGATATATCTATTGGTTGACATCAGCTGAAGATTTGGCTCCTCATGTTTAGCAGGTGCAAGCTAAAGTAAAGTCTTCTGTGCCATATTTCACATTTCTCCTGTCTTCATCGTCACTACTGCTGTATACATTCTCAGGCTGGAGAGTTAATTAGCATCAGCTGTAGCTACTCAAGTTTCTATACAATAAATTCCATATTGTAAGGAACAGCTTTCGTCTAATTATAACTTGTTCGTGTAAATATATATATATATATATTTCCACACATACACACACTAATCTGCTACTCTGGGTTATTGCATGATGACTTTCCCATAAACAGAAGATGAGGCGAGAACACCAGATAGGCCACATTCATTCAACACAACATTTCAAATACTATTTAGTAATTGATGGTAAATACTATTAATAGTCTTTAGTCTTAAGATTGCCTACATTAGCCCATCCTGATTACCATGAGTATATATTAGTTTAAAGGTGACCTACAAATATTTTCTTGCTGTACAAGCATCTCAAATACCAGGGGCTTTTCAATGTGTATTTAAAACAAAAACATTCTTTTGTTTTGCAGGTAGCAGCATATCAAAATCCCACAGCACCAGCTGCTCTGATTTTACTCCAATACAAGTGTGTATATATATATACACACACACACATATAGACATGCACAAAAAAATTAAAATAGCTCTTGAAACAAATTAAAGTCTAGTTATTTACCCCTTAGTAAACAAACTTGCTGCTGGCTTTAGCACTTGCTAATAAGACTCTTGCTTAAGAAGGAAACAGAAGCCTATAATCATCTGGGGTCATTCAACACCCCAAAAGCCCAGACCCCATCTCAGTTTTCCCCATCCACTGTCTTGGGTTGCTTTAATTAAGTAAATTATGCTTCCAAGTCACCTCCCGTTCTTTTTGGGAAAAAGTGTTAGCAACTACAATACCAGCTCTCTGATCTGTCTTGTTCACCGATTTAAATGCATTCTTCCCCTTCTTGAGTGTTTCATTCCTGGATTCTGCAGGAGAAGGGATGCAGCCCCTGTGCCCGGCCTGGCTCCCAGTGCCCACACGTGCTGCTGCCCATGGTCACGCCCGTGGTCACAACCAGCATGGCACCATATTCACCTTCCATTGCTGACTCACACATACCTCATAATCCTGATTTCCCTACTTGTGGGTAGTTTACATATGAGTGTGATTCATGATATGACCTTTTGTCATCTCCCCCCACCCTCCTTGCACATCTTCCGCATCTTCTGTATCTCAACGTAGGGCTGCGGGAGCCAGCACAGCACCTACCATCCAAACCGGATTTACATTTCTCTCCACCTCATCTGTTCTTCCTTAACAACTCTGCATGGCAGCTTTGGGCACGACAACAAAAGAAAAACAAAAGTGTAGATGTTATAAAAGCTGAGGTGTTAGCAGAAATTATTTCCGTTTATAACATAGCTGACATTTGTGAAGGTGCTCAGGCATCAAAACATTTATGATTATCTAAGCTTAAACATAAATTTAGATGTTGGCATTTATAATCTTTCATAGTAAAGTGATGATATTGTTTAATCAAGAGGTCAAAATGAATTTAAAGTTGTCCCATTTTCTTCTCTTTGCCCCTTTTTAATAATTCAGCATAGAGCCCAGTAGGTAATATATTGTAAAAGATGGATGGAAAACTAGACATTCATGTGGAATATATTCTTCATGAAAGGTAAGTGAGAAATTAAGATTAAAAAAGCTCCTGTCTTCAGGAGAAACAAGACTAATCTGTTCATTTTTAACTTACCTTGTATTTATGAGACATCAGCTACAGACAGTAAAGGAAATGGCAGCATTCACTTAAAAGCAGCGTTAGCAAGTTCTGACAGCTTGTTAAAAGCCATGACCAAAAGGCAGGGTGATGCACATCGATCACCTGTGACAAGGACCTCATGGAGCTTGGCCCGGGCTTAGCCTTGGTCCTATCTCTGAGGTGGGTTGTGTGGCGCTCGGTAGGCCATTTCACATTAACGGGTACACATTCTTTAAGCTGCCCAAGGGATTTAAATGCTGGCTAGGCATTAAAAATAAACACAATTATGCCCTACAACTCTATGTCCTCCCACAGTTCAAGTCTGACTTCACATGTAACATGGATTTTCCAGCACTTACAAACCAATTTCTTGCCAGATAATGGAAGTAAGGTACCAAAGCAACAGAGTCAGCAGAAGATACAGTCCACAGTGGTGAAATCACAAGATGATATTCCATCCTTGGGACGCTATAACATGAAATATGGCTTTGAACGCTAACTGAGCCTGAGAGATTTGGATTTCGAAGTATAATTACCATCCACGAGCATAGCCTAACATCTACATTTCATTAATATGCCTTAAATATCCTTTTCATATGTGGCACATGGTGGAAATTTATACCTCTGGAGATTATCTGGACCAAC